TTTTCATCCTAGTTACATCTTCAATAAACGAAGATGACTTTGAAACGTACACGAAACTGACTTCTAAATGTCTGTTTTGACTTGAGAATAATAAAATCTTTGCTAAATATTTATATATGAAATTAATGAAAAATTATTGTCAATAAGTATGAAGTGTTCAAAGATAATAATGATAGTGATACAATGAACTGGAATAATATCACTCCTCAGATGTGTTATTTTCAAATGCTATATGTCTAAGACTTCTGCAGAAATGTCTTGTTGCCCAAGGTTCATGTGTGAACACCAAAAAGTAACATGTAAATCATACCAGCTTCATATATATAAACACAAAAAGCAGTCGTGTCACATACACATAGGTCGGATTTCAAAAGCCAGGCCATTTAGTAAAGTGAAACTGAGTTGGAAAGTCTGATAGTCCATTTCTGTTTCTTACTTACCTGTGCAAGCAATATCATACTGATGCTAAATGGCTGCTTGCCCTTGCAAAAGAGATGGAAATGTTTCCTAGAAGGAAAATGACTGTATGTAAATTGATGAAATAATATTTCAACGTTTATATCTTGTTTATAACTTTGATTCATAAATTATAGATGCTCGTTAAAGTTCTCTTTACTTTAGGAACTGCATTTCTTTTCCTTTTTCCTTTTTTAATTTTTTTTCCGACATAGAAAAATTAATAAAAACGGTAGGCTTTCTTGTCAGTGAGTTGGATGTATATAGTATCATCCTCTAAAGATAATGTTAACAATCTTTTTTCTTTTTTCTGTTATTTTTGTCCATTTATCAATCAAATTCATGGGAATCAATTTGTCTATTTAATCTCTTATTCTTTAAGCGGACAAAAAAACAAGTGAAAAGAAAAGCAATCCCACAAAGTCTAACTTGAGAAGATAACATTCTGAAGGACTAATTTGTTTGAAAAAATCTTTTAGGGATAAGATCAACTTTTTCTATTGCACAGAGGCTAAACATAATGTTTAGACCTGACATGTCATACATCTATGACATGTTTCTTTCTATAAAAAAAAATTGTTAAAATGAACTTGTCATCATGCTTTCTTTTATAAAAAGAATTATTAAAACTTGTCCTCTATCATAGACTAAAAATACTACCTCCGATCCTTAATATAAGACCTTATTTGATTTTTATTTTGATCCTAAATATAAGATCCTAATCCACTTTGTTTCTCATATTTATATATATTTTTTCAAAATAATTCTTCTAACAATGGTAATTTTAGCCAATACACTTAATTAGTAAGGATATTTTAGAAAAGACAATACCTATTTAAGACAAGTAATTAACTCAACTTACTTTATTAATCTCCTTAAATTAGTCAATGGGTTCCTCTAATTAGGACTAGAGGTAGTATATTGAATTCCTTAGTTTGAATACAAGGATCATTTTATAGGTTTGGATTAGCTGAAAATTTTAAGTTACATATTCAATAAATGAATATGGCTTTGAAACATAAACAAAACTGACTTATAATTGTCTGTTTTGAGTAGAGAATAATAAAATCTTGGCCAAATATTTATAGCTAAAATTAGTGAAAAATTCTTGCCAATGAGTATGAAGTGTTCAAAGATAATAATATCACTCCTCAATATGTTAATTTCAAGTGCGTCAGGACTAAGATAGCAAGATTTCTGCAGAAATGCCTTGGCGGCCATGATTCATATTTGGACACAAAAAACTAATATGCAAATCATACCGACTTTAGGTAAATATATAAACACGAAAAGTATTCATGTTACATACATAGATAGGATTTCAAAAGCCAAGCCATTAATTGAATTGAAACTGAGATGTGAAGTCTGAGATTCCATTTCTGTTTCTTACTTTTCTGGCAAGCAGTATTATAATGATTCCAAATGGCTGCCTCGCCGCAATGTGCCTTCCAAAAGAACATGTTGCTTTATTTGTGTTTGGAGATTCGCTATTTGATGTTGGAAACAACAATTACATCAACTCCAGCGCTGATTATCAGGCAAATTATGCACCATAAGGGGTAAACTTCTTTAAGTACCCTTCTGGCAGATTTTCTGATGGACGTCTTGTTCCAGATTACATTGGTAAGAATTTTAAATGTCTGTGAGTTTAACTTGAAGAAACATAATATTAACAATCTGAGAACTTCTATTGCAGCTGAGTATGCTAAAGTGCCATTAACCCAACCATATCTGTTTCCTGGTAATCATGAATATATCGATGGGGCCAATTTTGCATCGGCGGGTGCTGGGGCCTTAGTTGAGACTGGAAAAGAACTGGTATGTTATGGTTCGAGCTTTTTATGCTTGATATGCTTATCCTTGCTGTTTATGAGCAACTTAATGTATTATAGATACAACAGTTTAACCGTAAGGTTGATTTATTTTTCAGGTTTTAGACCTACAAACTCAATTAAGTCACTTCAAGAAAGTGGTCAAGGTCCTGAGGCAGAAACTGGAAGCTGAAAAACCAAAAGCTTGCTGGCCAGAGCTGTCTACTTGATAAACATTGGATCCAATGATTATTTTGATTCTTCGACAGAAAACTCCAGCGGTGGTGCTTCAAGCTCTCCTGAAACATATGTGGACATGGTCATTGGTAATCTGACAACTGTGATCAAAGTGTGTAAAAATACTCCTCAAATGCTCAATGTTCAGAGTTCCCACTGTGCTTAGTGTTTCATCTTCCTAATTGCTATGCATTCTATGATTACTAGAAAATACACAATCAAGGAGGGAGGAAATTTGGGCTTCTTAATTTGGGACCTCTAGGCTGTGCTCCAGTTGTTAGGTTACTGGTGAATGGAAGTGGTATATGCAGAGAAGAAGTTTCAGCAATAGCAAAGCTGCATAACGGTGCACTTGCAGTTGAGCTTCAGAAGTTGGAGAAACAGCTGGAAGGATTCAAATATTCACTCACTAACTTATATGATTTAGGTTTTGAAGTGATAAATCACCCTTCGAGCTATGGTGGGTGTTAAGTTTTTGAATTAGAGTAGTTTTTGACTATATCAGAATCTCTTTTACCAGCAGGTCCAGAGTTTGATTTGATTCTTGTCATTCAATCACTAAACTAATGTTTTTTTGGATTAATTTGCATGGAAGGTTTCAAATCGAACGAGGCATGCTGTGGAAGTGGGCTTTACAGGGGATATTACAGTTGTGGAGGGAAAAGAGAAGTCAAAGATTATGAACTGTGTGAGAATGCCAAGGAATATTTCTTCTTTGACTCGACTCATCTTTCTGAAAACGCTCAGGAGATTGTTGCCCAATCCATGTGGAATGGAAATCACACTCTCACTGGGCCTAACAATGTGAAAGCACTATTTCAACAATGATCCTACCCTATGGAATTCTTATTTGTAATATGATGACAATAAGAATGAAGAAAAGAGATGGGGATATTTCCTAGAAGGAAAATGATGAAATAAAATTTCAATTGTCATGTATATCTTGTCTATAATTTTGATTCATTAATTAGTCTCCAGCAAAATGAAATCTAACGACAATTTGAAATTCCTGAAGCTGACAACTAAGGACTTTAAGAATATATATCTGAAAATCTAAAAGAACAAGTTATTATAGATGCTTGGTTGAAGTTACCTCTGATATTCCTTAAAACTACATTAATTTTTTGATACAACCAGTTCAAAATAATCACACACAAAAAACTTACCTGTGAAGATGACAAAGATTTGCATTACATGGGACAATATGATAATCCTAATATCATACAATGTTTCCTTCTGTCAAAAAAGTTGTTAAAATGAACTTGTCATCTGTCATAGACTATATGTATATTCAACTACTTAGTTTGAATATGAGGGTATTTTATAAGCTTGCACTAATTGAGATTTTTTGTATTCAAGTTAGGTACTCGATAAATGAAAATGACTTTGAAACATAAACAATATTGTCTTCCCTATGATGTTCTGACTGGAGAATAATAAACTCTTTGCCAAATAATCATATATTAAATTAATGAAATCATTTTCATTTATCGAGTATTAAGTATTACGTATTCCAATATAATGACTAATATCACTTTGTCAGGTATGTTATTTTCAAATTCTTCATCACTAAGGTTTGTGCAGCTATATCTTGATCCCCAAGTTTCAAGTTTGAACACGCAAAAAATAATATAAAAATCATGTTAACTTCATATAAATAACATTGAAAAACTATTTCTGTCACATGCAGAAGTTGAGTTTCAAAAGTCAACCCATTCATTTGAGGTCCCAAAAAAAAAAAAAAACACACCATTCATCCGGTACGTAAGTGTACATGTCATAACGTCGGACGGGTATTTTATTAGAAACTTATTCAAACATATCCAAGATTGAAACATACCACCAACTAATTTAAGCTTGCTATCCTCAAGAGTGTTACGGTAGTCTCTATTAACAGTCGTTGCAACCATTAATTGAAACTGAGATGGTGAGTCTTAGTTCACTTCCTTATCGCCAAAACGTCGAATGATACGGTTTGATGTTACCGGTTAATTCAGCATGCATCAGACGAGACAGTGAAAACCTATATTTATCAGAAGTTTCTGATGTATTTCTGTTTTTCTATTTTGAAATTCTAATCCAACCAAAATAATGGAGAGAAACGGCATTGGAGAAGAAATATATAGAAAATAAACTTTGTCTTCTGTAATAGCATTGAGTCAAAAAAAAAAAAAAAATCCAAAACCGCAACTTAGGAAGCCAGAAAAAAACTTGTCAATAAAATCTTTGCCAAATATTTATTTATAAAAGTATGAAGTATTAAAAGTTAATTATTCAATAAACTAAAACAATATCACTTTTCAGATATGTGATTTTAAATAGCTTCATCACTAAGATTTTTGCAGCTATTTCATGGTGCCCAACTCTCAAGTTTGAATTCAGAAAAGTAATATATAAGTCATATTAACATTATACAGGTAACATTGAAAATGTACTTGTGTCAGATGCGCATAACTGTATTTCAAAAGCCAAGTCATTAAGTGAACTCAAACAGAGATGGCAAGTCTGAGATTGCATTTCTGTTTCTTACTTTTCTGTGCAACCAATATCGTACTTATTCCAAATGGATGCCTTGCCAAAATATGCCTTCCAAGACAACAAAATGCTTTTTTTGTATTTGGAGATTCACTATTTGATGTTGGAAACAACAATTACATCAACACCAGTACTGATTTTCAGGCAAATTATGCACCATATGGGGAAAACTTCTTCAAGTTCCCTTCTGGCAGATTTTCTGATGGGCGTGTTATTCCAGATTTCATTTGTAAGAATTCTAAATGTGCATGAGTTTAACTTGAAGGCATATGCCACTAACAATCCGAGACTTTTTCCTTGCAGCTGAGTATGCTAAATTGCCACTAATCCAACCATATCTGTTTCCTGGTAATCAAGAATACATCAATGGGGTCAATTTTGCATCAGGGGGATCTGGAGCTTTAGTTGAAACTCAACAAGGACAAGTATCCAATGCTTTGAGATTTTCATCTGAAATTATTCTTGAAATGTTTTTATAACTTAGGATCATGAAGGGACATGTGATCATGTAGGAGGCAGTTTCTATTAAAAAGCGTATTATAGTTATAACAGCTTAATAATATGGTTGATTTATTTTTCAGGTGATAGACCTAAAAGCTCAACTAAGTCACTTCAAGAGAGTGATCAAGGTTCTGAGGCAGAAACTAGAACATGAAGAAACCAAAAGCTTGCTGGCCAGAGCTGTCTATTTGATATATGTTGGACCCAATGATTACTTTGGTTCTTTGACCGAAAACTCCAGTGTCGTTGCTTCAAACTCTCCTGAAAATTTTGTGGACATGGTCATTGGTAACCTGACAACTGTGGTCAAAGTGTGTTAGAAAACTTCTGAAAAGCTCAATGTTCTGAGTTCTCTTATGCTGTGCTCGATGTTGTACCTTTCTAATTGCTTTTGCAATCTGTGATTACTAGGAAATACACAACCAAGGAGGGAGGAAATTTGGGTTTCTTACTTTGGGACCTTTGGGTTGTGCTCCAGTGGTTAAGTTACTAGTCAATGGAAGTGGTCCTTGCAGAGAAGAAGTTACAGCAATAGTGAAGCTGCACAACAGAGCACTTGCAGTTGAGCTTCAGAAGTTGGAGAAACAGCTTAAAGGATTCAAATATTCACTTACCAATTTGTATGATATAGGTGTTGAAGTGATGAATGACCCTTCAAAATATGGTAGGTGTTAAACTATTGCTGGGCTTCAAGTCAAGTTTTTGAGCTAAGTTAGAGTAACTTTTGACATATATCTGAATGTCTTTCACCAATTGGTCTAAAGTTTGATCCTTGTCATCTATCATTCTGTTATCACAATTAAATTTCTAGTTGCTCTAGACTTTGCCTTAATCACTAACCTAACGTTCTTGTGGGTTAATTTGTTGTGAAGGTTTCAGAGAATGGGATATGGCATGCTGTGGGAGTGGGCCTTACAGGGGATATCCCAATTGTGGAGGCAAAAGTGACGTGAAACATTATGAGTTGTGTGAGAATGCCAATGAATATTTCTTCTTTGACTATGGTCATCCCACTGAAAGGGCTAATGAGCTTATTGCTCAATTCATATGGAATGGAAATCACACTATCACTGGGCCTCACAATCTGAAAGCATTGTTTCAACAATGATCCTTCCTTATGGAATTCTTATTTGCAATATGATGATAGGAAGAATAAAGAAAAGAGATGGAGATGTTCGTGGAAGGAAAATGAGTGCATGTAAATTGATGAAATAATATTTCAAGGTTCATAAATTAGTATCCTGCAAAATGAACTCTTACGATAAGGAATTCCTAAAATTGAAAACTACAGACTATAAGAATTAAAATATATCTGAAAATCACAAAGACCAAGTTATCGTATAGATGCTTGTTAAAGTTATCTCTGGTACTCCTTAAAACAACTTTTCAAAATACCCTTGCAATATATCCACGCATACATCTATATGATTGAGCCTTATCTAATTCAGTGTTATATTGAAGATCTGAATTACCGGGGAGAGATTGATAATAATTAAAACAGTCATATGATCTGCATCAATCTATAGTTGGAACGTAACCCAGTCGTAATTTTTTTCGGGACTCTTGAATCCTATCATTTGACAGAGTTTGCTTACAAACAGCCCCCCCTTTCCTTCATTTTGTTTTATCACGTAAATAATTTTAATAGTTTGCCAACTTACATACCAAACTGAATATGAATTAACGGTATTGAGGTAAATGTTATTTAAGTTAGCTAATTGTTATGTTTTTCATTCAAATTCGGGTCAATGTAAGAGAGGCTAGAAAGACAAAACCGGAATGATGACTGACTGAGTTAGTTTTGTCTTGGACATTATTTTTTGATGGAGAGGAAAACTAGGAGAAGAGAGCAAAAAAAAAAAAAAATTTATTCCCAACCGTTTTCTTTTCAAAAGTGAAGAGATTTTGAAGAGAAGCATGCCTGCTAGAATTGCCCCAAAACTACAATAATCTAAGCATGGGGCTCAAATATACTTTATTTAGCTTTAAAAAAAAAAAATCAATCATTCCCATCTCTCTGTTAATTGATGTCATAGGAACAAACTTTTCAATATAAATACTTGAAATTCAACCTTGCCATAGATGCTCACACACATAAAACTATCAGGTTTCTCCCTCGTACTCGGACAAGTGAAGTATATCCAACATGTCAAATCTAAGGTTTCAGTACTTTTGCTTCTTGCTCATCTGCGTAATCCTCTGCTGCCCCAGAAACAGCCTAGGAGACACCTGTCTGCGGCCAAAACATGTTGCTTTGTATGTTTTTGGAGATTCTGGGCATGATGCTGGCAACATGAACTACATCAACGGTTCTCTTTCTGCCTTTAGAGCTAATCATTGGCCTTACGGACAAACCTTCTTCAAGTTCCCTTCTGGAAGATTTTCAGATGGTCGTTTAGTTCCAGACTTCATAGGTAAACTGACAGTATTTATAATGTTTTGTCTGATTTCATCTTACCTATTCATTGATTTATTTATTCTCTTTTGGCAGCTGAGTATGGGAAATTGCCTTTGATAAAACCATATCTTCATCCTGGCTACCGTTTTTATACTGATGGAGCAAACTTTGCATCAGCAGGGGCTGGAGCTCTTTCAGAAACTCGCCAAGGATCTGTATGTGACATTTATTTATTTATCTTATGAAGATGCCAGATGATCCTGGTACTGCAAAAATGTTATCTTTTTCTTTCAAAATAGTTTTACTGCAATCTGATTGTTTGTGTTGTTCTTCAGGTATTGGACCTGAAAACTCAGGTAATCTATTACAAAAAGGTTCACATGCTACTGAGGGAGGAACTAGGAGATGAAGCAGCTCAATCATTAGTCTCAAGATCTGTCCACTTGATTAGTACTGGGGCCAATGATTATGCAGTTTACATTACAAATTCGACTGTGCTTTGGTCAAACTCTCACCAAGATTACGTGAGCATGGTGATTGGCAACATTTCTTCTGCTATCCAGGTAGCAGAAATTTCGGATTGAGATGAAGAGTTGGCTATCATTTTGGTTCCTGAAAAATATAAATCTACTCAGTCTGATCGTACATATGAGTTCTGTTAACTTCATATTTACCTATGTAAATTGATATTCCTTAGCATAGAAAATTTGTTGACTCTATAATTAATCCACAAGATATATTTTAAAAGTTACGAAATGTGATGTTCCACAAGATATATTTTAAAAGTTACGAAATGTGATGTTCGCCAACATAGATTTTAATAGTTACGAAATGTGATGTGCAGGACATATATAACATGGGAGGAAGAAAGTTTGGCATTCGTAACGTGGGCCCTTTGGGATGTTCACCATCAATGAGGGTACTAAAAGGTGGAGCTGCAGGTGACTGCGTTGAAGAAGCTACAAAAATAGTAAAACTACACAACAACCAACTTTACAAGATGCTGATAAAGCTTGGGAATGAGCTCCAAGGGTTTAAGTATGAACTCACCGATTACTTCACATTTCTAACAGAACTAATGAATAACCCATTCAAATATGGTATGTCCTTGCCTTCTCACTACTTCTGCTTCTATTATTATAAAAGATAATGATCCTCTCCCCTCGTATGTCAATAAAAAATCATTGAAAACCAAGGTTTCACAGTATCTTGTGGTAAATCTTATTTGTCATGTTTTAGTTTTCTATGAAGTAAACAGAACCTTACAGTTTTGCATTCATCTTTGTTCTTAACCACGTGGATTTCTTTAATTTTTTTTTCTTACAAGGTTTCAAGGAAGGGAATGTGGCCTGCTGTGGCAGTGGTCCCTACAGAGGAATTCCAAACTGTGGATTGAAGATTGAAGGAATAGAAGACCACAAGTTATGTGCTAACGTTAATGATTATGTGTTCTTTGATTATTCTCATCCCACAGAAAAAGTCAACCAGAAGCTCTCAAAATTAATGTGGGATGGGAAGGGCAGTGGTCCCTACAATCTCAAAGCGTTATTTGAGCTTTGAGCCCCCAACACTATACTTTCTGATATTATGTGCCTATGCTTTCTCTTCTGGTTGGATATTTTGGAATGTTGTTCTTCCAAAAATATTGGAAAGAAATAAAGCATTGGAGAAGTGATATGTAGAAAATTAATTTTCTCTTCTGTAACGAAACCAGAATATTAAAACTTGTTATCTGTCAATGACTATAAGTATATTCAATTCCTTATTTTGATGCCAGGGTTTGTACTAATTGATTTTTGTATTTAAGTTGGATATTAAATAATGAAAACTGGTTTTCGAAATATGCTTCTAAACTCAGTTTTGAATCGAGAATAATGAGCTCTTCGCCAAATATTCATAGATAAAATTAATTGGAAAAGTAAGCTTTGTGACGTATTCAAAGATAATGTTTCAATAAACTAGAATAATATCGGTTCTCGTATGTGTTTCTTTAGAATGCCCTATCACTAGGATTTCTGCAGATATGTCTATACTTGGTGCCCAAGTTTCAAGTTTGAGGTCAGAAAAAAATACTTGTCACATACACATAGGTTGAATTTCAATAGTCAAGGCATTCATTTGATACGTAAGTGTACATGTTATCATCTGAGACTTGTGTATTTTCAAGAAGCATATTCTAAACTCTAAAGAATATTCAAGATTGAAACCAAATACCCTCTAGTTTAAGTTTCTGATCCTCAAGAATGTTTCAGGAGTCTCTATTAACAGAAGTTGAAACCATTAAGTGAATTGAAACAGAGATGGCAAATCTGAGATTCCATTTCTTATTTTTACTTCTCTATGCAAGTATTATTATACTTGTTTCAAATAACTCTGTTGCCAAAATCTGCCTTCCAAGACAACACGATGCTTTTTCGGCATTTGAAGATTCACTATTTGATGTTGGAAACGACAATTATTTTAACACCAATGATCAGGCAAATTATGCACCATATAGGGAAAATTTGTTCAAGTAAGCTTCTGGCAGATATTCTGATGGGCGAGTTATTCCAGATTTCAGGTGATAAACCTAAAAAGTAAAAACACAGCTTAATTTCAAGAGAGTGATCAGGGTTCCAAGTGAGAAACTAGAAGATGAAGAAGCCAAAAGCATGCTGGCCGGGGCTGTCCCCTTAATAAACATTGGAAGCAATGATCATTCAGGTCTTTTGTATGTGGACATCGTCATTGGTAATCTTACAAACGTGATCAAAGTACGTAAATTCATTCTGAAGTACTCAATATTCAGAGTTGTAATGTTGTGCTAGGTGTTGTACCTTCTAATTGCTTTTTCACTCCGTGATTTGTAGGAAATATACCAGCAAGTAGGGAGGAAATTTGTGTGTTTTTTTTTTGTTTTTGTTTTTACTTGGGACCTCTGGCTTTTGCTCCACTGGTTAGGGTGCTTGTGAATGGAAGTGAAGGTCCCTGCAGAGGAGTCTCATGAAGCTGCATAACACGGCACTTTCTGTTGAGCTTCAGAAGTTGGAGAAACAGGTTGAAGGATTCAAATATTCACTTACCAATTTATACCATTTAGGCCTTGAAGTGATAAATCACCCTTCAAACTATGGTAGGTGTTAATCTCTTCATATCTTGCTTATGATTTTGATTCATAAATTAGTCTCCCGCAAAATGAACTCTGACAACCCGAAATTGCTAAAATTGACAACAACGGACTTTAAGAACTAAAATACATATGAAAATCATAAAGAACAAATTATTATAGATGCCTGTTAAAGTTATCTCAGGCAATCCTTAAAACAGCTTTACTTTTTTTGATATGGCAAGTTCAAAATACCCTTTCAACATCAAGAACACCAGTTTGTAACCTTGAGAAACATAAGTAATAACTTTGACAAGTGCTAGCTTGTGATACTTATTCTTGAAACTATTGAGAAGAATTTTAAGTTCAAGGATCTTTAAGCATTAATTTTATAAGTTTTAGGTTCTTCATGCGGGTTCTTATTCCTCGCATATATCATCTACCTCTTCTGATCTTCTAATCTCTATGGCTGAGCTCTTTCTCATTGAATGCGATATTGAAGATCTGAATTACTGAAGACGATTGATAATAATTAAAACAATTATATGATCTGCATCAATCTATAGCTGCAGTGTAGCCAGTCGTCACCTTTTTGTGGGACGCTTGAATCCTATCATTTGCAGACTTTGCGTACAAACAGTTTGCCACCTTCCCTCTTTTTGTTTTCTCACACACATAATACTAGTAATTTGCAAACTTTTATGCCAAACGGAATATGAATTAACTGTATTACGGTAAATATTATTTATGTAACAGAGGCTAGAGAGGCAAAAATGGATTCCTGTGAGAAATAGAAGGCAGCCTTATTTGTTTTTGAACGAGGGGTGCCAAAATTAGCTTGGTACTTAAAGTTATGTTTTGATGGGAAAAAAAGGGGAAGTCGGGAAGAGAAAAGAAAAGGAAGAATGTACTTTTCCCTATTTGAATAGCAAAGGAAAATAAGATGGTCAGAAAACATGATGAAAAATGAAATTCTCCCCAAAGTTATCGTTTCAAAAGTGAAGAGATTTTGAAGAGAAAACATGCTTTCTTTTATTGTCCCAAAGACTACAACAATCTGACCATGAGGCCCAAATATCATTTGTTTAGCCTTTTTTTTTAAAAAAAAATTATTTTTTAATTAAAGGGTAGGCTCTAACGACGTGAGGTTATAAGTAGAATTAAACTCGTATTAACAGGTTGATATTATAAGTAGAATTAAACTTATAATCTTTCACTCACACAAAGCTTTCATACCACTAGGTTACAAAATCACTAGCCAGTCATTTATATCTTTGTTAAGGCCAACCATTTGTATCTTTGTTAATTGATGTCATAGGAGCTAACTTTCCAATATAAATATGTGAAGTACAGCATTACCATAGATGCTCACACACTCACACACATGAAACTATCAGGTTTCTCCCTAGTAATTGGACAAGTGAAGTATTTCCAACATGTCAAATCTAAGGTTTCAGTACTTTTGCTTCTTGCTTATCTGCCGAAGCATCTGCTTCCCCAGAATCAGCCTAGGAGACATCTGTCTGCGACAAAAACATATTGCTTTGTATGTTTTTGGAGATGGTGAATATGATGCTGGCAACATCAACTATATCAACGGTTCTCTTTCTGCCTTTAGCGCAAATCATTGGCCTTACGGACAGACCTTCTTCAAGTACCCTTCTGGAAGATTTTCAGATGGTCGTTTAGTTCCAGACTTCATAGGTAAACTGACCATATTTATGATGTTTTGTCTGATTTCATCTTATCTATTTATTGATCTATTTATTCTCTTTTGGCAGCTGAGTATGGAAAATTGCCTTTGATAAAACCATATCTTCATCCTGGCCACCATAGATATACTGATGGAGCAAACTTTGCATCAGCAGGATCTGGAGCTCTTTCGGAAACTCGTCAAGGATCTGTATGTGGCATTTATTTTTTTATCTATCAATCCATTTATTATACATGAAGATCTCAGATGAGTACCGCCAAAAAAGACATAGTCAACTGTTCTTTTTTAATGATTTTTGAGATTTAAACACATTCAAATGGTCACTTTTTCCTTACATCAGATGGAAATTAGCACACCTTAATATCACTACCTAATACTCTTCACTACGGATAGTTTTGCTGTGATCTGATTAATTGTGTGATTCTTCAGGTTTTGGACCTGAAAACACAGGTAAGATATTACAAGAAGGTTCACAGGCTATTGAGGGAGGAACTAGGAGATGAAGCAGCTCAAACATTGATCTCAAGCTCTGTCCACTTGATTAGTACTGGGGTCAATGATTATGCAATTTACATTACAAATTTAACTGTGCTTTGGTCAAATTCTCACCAAGATTATGTGAATATGGTGATTGGCAACATTTCTTCTGCTATCAAAGTAAGAGAAGTTTCAGATTGAAACGAAGAGTTTACTATCATTTTGGTCCTTAAAAATTATATATTTACTTATTCTGATGATATGTATGAGTTCTGTTAACTTCATTTTTACCTATAGAAATTGATATTCTTCAATATAGAAAGTTAGTTGATGCTTGTCACTAAAATATAATAAAATTTATAACAAGTCATATTATTTATAAGTAGGAATAGTGCCCCCCACTTTAGACTACGTGCAAGGACCTGAGAAATGTGGCTAATATTTCTTTTTAGAAAAATGAAGTGGTTATTAAACCACTATGATTTTGTTGGCAAGCATCTAGATGCTACTAAATCATTTGAGTAACTCTCTTAACTTGAGGAGAACAGAACTTATGATGATCAAATTGATGTGCTTCTCCAAATGTTTGAGGTACTGATCTGATAATTGTTATCCTTCGAAGCCTAAACAGATTGAAGAAGGACTAAAGCAATAGTTTTTTAACTCTATAATATAATTAATCCAAAAGATATTTTTTAATAAGTTACTGACTGTGATGCACAGGACATATATAACGTAGGAGGAAGAAGATTTGGGATTCGTAATGCAGGCCCTTTGGGTTGTTTACCAGTTATGAGGGTACTAAGAGGTGGAGCTGCAGGTGACTGCATCGAAGAAGCTACAAAAATAGCAAAACTACACAACAAGCAACTTTACAAGATGCTGATAAAGCTTGGGAATGAGCTCCAAGGGTTTAAGTATGGACTCACTGATTACTTCACATTTCTAACAGAACTAATGGATAACCCTTTCAAATATGGTATGTCCTTGCCTTCTCACTACCTCTGCCTCTATTCTCATGAAGGATGATGATTCTCTCCCACTATATGTTAAAAAAAATATATATATATATATTGAAAACCTACGTGTAACCATGGGTTTCACAGTGTCTTATCTTGTGGTAAATTATTTTGTCATATTTTACATTTTTGCATTCATCTTTGTTCTTAACCACGTAGATTTCTTCATTTTCTCTGACAAGGTTTTAAGGAAGGGAATGTGGCATGCTGTGGCAGTGGTCCCTACAGAGGAACTTCAAATTGTGGATTGAAGATAGAAGGAATAGAAGACTACAAGTTATGCGATAATGTTGGTGATTATGTGTTCTTTGACTCTTCTCATCCCACAGAAAAGGTCAACCAGAAACTCTCAAAATTGATGTGGGACGGAAAGGGCAGTGGTCCCTACAATCTCAAAGCCTTATTAGAGATTTGAGCACTTCCTTAGTGTCAAAATATAGATGGATGCAGTTTATGTTACCAGTTGATACTACATGTGTTACACGGGAAGAGACACTGAAACCTAGCATTTAGCAGAAGTTTCTGATATGGTTTACCTGTACTTTCTATTCTTTTTGGATATTTTGAAAGTTTGATTTACCGAAAGTATATGGGAGAGAAATAAATCATTGGAGAATATGTGGAAAATTAGGTTCTCGTGTAACAAAATCCAGGCTCTAAGTCATTGGTACCAAGAAAAATCCAAAATAACAACTTTCAAAAACAGAAATTTAAAACTTATCATCTATCATTGACTATTAGTATATTCAATCGGCAGGTTTTAATCCAAGGTTTACTTTATGGGTTTGGACTAATTAAGTTTTGTATTGAAGTAGGATATTAAATAGGGGCAATGACAATTAGGTCCTAAAGGACCAATTCAATTACAACTAAGTCTCAACATTTCGAAATGCCACTAAAAACCCAAACATTTTCTCGTTTTTTGGTCATTATATGGTCCGAATGAAATGACTTGAACGCCCTTTTAATACCACCTCTCCCGCCGACGTGCTCTATTCCTGTCCAATTCCAAGGTCATCTGTCATTGACTGTAAGCATATTCAATCCCTAGTTTTGATCCAAGGTTTAACTTAAGGGTTTGGACTATTTAAGTTTTATTTTGAAGTTGGAAATTAGATAATGAAAGTTGACTTCGAAATGATAACAAAAGGGTATCTAAACTCCAGAGTTTTGAATTGAGAACAATGAAGTCTTTTCCAAATAATTATAGATAAAATGAATTAAAAATAAGTCTTGTCAATATGCATGACGGATTCAAGGATAATGACATAATAAACTAGAATAAATACCATTTTTATGATGCATTATTTAAAATGCCTCGTCACTAAGATTTCTCCAGGTATGCCTTGGTGCCTCGATCATCACTCTGAAAAATATTTCTGTCACAGACACATAGGTTGGATTTGCAATAGTCAAGCCATTCATTTAATACGCAAGTGTACATGTTATTATCTCAGACATATTCTGAATTCTCAGAATATCGAAGGTTAAAGCTAACAACCCACTTGTTTAAGTTTCTTATCCTCAAGTATAGTCTTTTATCACCAGAATTTGCAACCATTAAGTGAAGAGAAACTGAGATGGCAAGTCTGAGATTCTGTTTCTGTTTCTTACTTTTCTGTGCAAGTAATATCATACTTATTCCAAACAGCTGCCTTGCCAAAATATGCCTTCCAAGACAACACAATCCTTTGTTTGTATTTGGAGACTCACTATTTGATGTTGGAAACAATAATTACATCAACACAACTGATCAGGCAAATTATGCACCGTATGGGGAAAACTTCTTCAAGTACCCTTCTGGCAGATATTCTGATGGGCGTGTTATTCCAGATTTCATTGGTAAGAATTCTGAATGTTTGTGAGTTTGACTTCAATATCTAAACTTTTCTCCTCTATACTATTAACAATCCGAGAGTTTTCATTGCAGCTGAGTATGCTAAATTGCCATTAATCCAACCATATCTGTTTCCTGGTAATCATGAATATATTGATGGGGTCAATTTTGCATCAGCCGGTTCTGGGGCCTTAGTTGAAACTAATCAAGGAAGGGTATGTTATAGCTTGGGCTTTTTAGCTAAAATGATTCTGACATAATTTTTTCAACTATATAGAAAGATGAAATCAATCATAAATTGAAATTGACATGTAAGCTTGTCATAAGTAGATTCTACTATATAGGTAAATTTGCATTGCTTTTTGTGTTTAATTTATATCTCTTCATAATACGCTAGATCTGTCACACACACACACACACACACACACACACAGAGTTTAATAGTATGGCTGATTTTTTTTTTTCAGGTGATAGACCTAAAAACTCAACTAAGTTATTTCAAGAGAGTGATCAAGGTTCTGCGGCAGAAACTACAAGATGCAGAAACCAAAAGCCTACTGGCCAGAGCTGTCTACTTGATCAGCATTGGAAGCAATGATTATTTGGGTCCTTTGATGGAGAACTCCAGTGTCATTGCTTCATACTCTCCTGAAAAATATGTGGACATGGTCCTTGGAAATCTGACGACTGTGATCAAAGTGTGTAAAAAAACTTCTGAAATGGTCAATGCTCAGAGTTCTCTTAAGCTGTGTTTAGTGCTGCACCTTTCTAATTGCTTTTGCAATCTGTGATTACCAGGAAATACACAAGCAAGGAGGGAGGAAATTTGGGTTTCTTAACGTGGGACCTTTGGGTTGTACTCCGCTGGTCAGGGTACTAGTGAATGGAGGTGAAGGTCTCTGCAGAGAAGAAGTTTCAGCGCTAGTGAAGCTGCATAACACTGCACTTTCTGTAGAGCTTCCCAAGTTGGAGAAACGACTTAAAGGATTCAAATATTCACTTTACAATTTCTATGATTCAGTTTTTGATGTGATAAGTCACCCTTCAAAGTATGGGAGGTTCAAACTATTCCCGAGCCTTCAACAAGTTCAAAGTATTAAAGTTAGAAAGCATTTTGGCACATATCAGAATATCATTTACTAAGTGGTCTAGAGTTTGATCCTTTTTATCAATAACTCTCCAACCAAAATTAAGTTTCAGGTTTCACAGTTGAAATCCAAATATTATAATTCCAATGTTTTTGGGTTAATTTGTTGTGAAGGTTTCAGAGAAGGGAGTGAGGCATGCTGTGGAAGCGGGCCTTACAGGGGATATCCCAGTTGTGGAGGCAAAAGACTAACAAAAGATTATGAATTGTGTAAGAATGCGAGTGAATATGTCTTCTTTGACTCAGTTCATCCTTCTGAAAGGGCTAATGAGCTTCTTTCCCAATTCCTATGGAATGGAAATCACACAATCACAGGGCTTCACAATCTGAAAGCACTATTTCAACAATGATCCAACCATATATGGAGTTCTTATTCTTAATATTGGTGATAAGAAGAGAAAAGGAATGAGATGGGGATGTTCCTGAAAGGAAAAGGAGTATATGTAAATTGATGAAATAAAAATTTCAAAGTTTATGTCGTGTTTAGAATAAAAGGCGTATAAATTGACCTGTCCGACTTAGCCTTGATTCAGAAGTTAGTCTGCTTTAAAATGAAATGTTGTCCAACGATCCTAATTTGATAAGTAAAGACTTTTTTTGGGCCAAAATATAAGACAGCATAAAGACTTAAATAATTGAAATATCTCGGAAAAATCACAAGAACCAGTTATCATAGGTGCTTCTTCGCATGTCATGCTCCTTAAAGCCGCTTCATTTCTCAGATATTACAAAAAGGTTTTCATCAACGACTTTTTAAGCTTAGCTCAGGCTCAACTCTAAATCTAAATACTTTTTTTTCAACTTTTTAATTATCATGAGAAAGATGGTAAAACAGAAAGACTCATTTGGTACTTACTCCAAGGTATTATCTTTAGTCCTTAATATAAAATCCAGTTAACCAATTTGAGAAAATTGAGAAAATTACTAAATTACTTTAAAATATTTATATTTATATTGATCAAACCACGTAGGAAAACTATCAAATACCAGGCAGTAGGACACGCAGCAAGAATTGTTGGACCATATTCACAGTATTTTGTGAGATTTTGGAAATTCGGAAAGATCAAAATACTTGGAACATTTTTTTTCCCCCCTCATCACACCAGATCCAAATGCCCCTGGATTTTCCCATTAGAATTGCACAACATATATTCCTTACATTTCTCCATGATCTAGAGATTTGTTCAAATTGTGTCGCTCTAGGGACCAACACTCACACTACACACACAAATATGTTCACAAGTCAAGTGGAAATGACAGAAGACGCGTGTTGACTTCATATTCGGTGCCGCCATACTCACATACGTTCACACTAACACAAATCCAGGATTGAGCCTTACTTTGTGATGGATTTATGATTATCTGACATGATTAAAAACTAATGTTGTAGCAGAAAGCAACAGAAAAATTGAATTGCTGGGTCCCAGGGAGTCTTCTTTCTTTCTAGTTCATCGAGACTGAAGGGAATTATAATTAATGAACATTAGATTGAGAAGTTTGAGGAGGGGGTGAGTAAATGCGATCGAATATTATGGCAAGACCCGTGTCTCATCATATCAGCTTCTTCTTCTTCTTCTTCTTCTTCTTCAGCAGCACAGTACTGTGTCTCATCTTCCCTACACTGTGCTGGGCTGATTCATCTCCATGTCTGCAACAAAGGCAAACCCCACCGTTTATCTTCGGAGACTCACTGTCTGATCCAGGAAACAACAACTACATCAACAATACTTCTCAATATAGGGCGAATTCTAGCCCTTATGGGATCACCTTCTTCAAATACCCTACTGGTAGATTTAGTGATGGCCGTCTCGTCTCAGATTTTATCAGTAAGCAGCATTGACTCTCGTGTTCCTGAACTTGAATTAGTATGTATGAAAAAACTAACGTAACTCCACTTCAGCTGAGTTTGCAGAACTTCCACTGATTCCACCATATCTACAGCCAGGATATCATCGGTATACTGACGGAGCCAATTTTGCATCTGGTGGAGCTGGTATTCTAGTTGAGACTAATCAAGGATCAGTATGTTTTTTGTTTTTTTTGTTTTTCACAGTTTAATCTGGTTGATATCGATGGACTAAGCCTGCCGCCGTGGATATGAACTTGGACCTTTTAATTATGAATACACTATAAAAGCAGAAACACACTGATGACTAATTCTAATTTGCAGGTGGTATGCCTCAAAACTCAACTTGAGCATTTCAAGAATGTAGAGGGGAAATTAAGGAGGAAACTTGGTGATGCAGAAGCCAGGGAATTGGTTTCAAGAGCTGTATATCTTATGAATATAGGAAGCAATGACTACATTTTCCCTTTGGCTTTAAATTCCAGCATTATCAAATTATACCCGCAAAAATACGTCAGAATGGTGATTGGAAACCTCACGTCTGTTATCAAAGTAAGGACATATGTACTCTTGGAAAGCCATGACTGACCTAAATGTATCATAAAAGATACTAACTTGAATATGTTTGAGTTGCTGACATAACAGGAAATGTATGAGAAAGGAGGAAGGAAGTTCTGGGTCCCAAATTTGGCTCCTTTTGGTTGTGTACCCGGCTTGAGAGTGAGCAATAATAGTTGCTTGGAGGAAGCCAATGCACTAGCAAAACTACATAACCAGGAGCTTCCTAAAATGCTTCAGAAGCTAGAAACTCAACTTAAAGGCTTCAAATACTCAACAAGCGATTTCTACGGCTTTCTCATTGATATGATTAATTTCCCTTCTAGACATGGTGAGTGCAGGAGGCCATGTTCTTTGATTGGAACATGGGTTTATGTTTTATCAGTAATTTCAGTAGTTGAGATGAAGTGATTGAATTTGAATTGATATAAACTTTGTATAGGTTTGAAGGAAGGGAAGATGGCATGCATTGGTGTTGGCCCATTCAGAGGAGGAAGGAGTTATGGGGCATGTAAAGATCCAAGTGAGTATGTGTTCTTTGATTCTGTTCATCCCACAGAAACAGTGAACCAGAAGTTTGCAAGCATAGTATGGAATGGAAATCGCAACCAAACATGGCCTCACAATCTCAAAGAGCTAGTTGAGACAATATAGGCGTTGAGCCTTGTGCTTCAACTCATCAATCATCATCAGCGCGTTGCAGACTTGAACTGATACAATTTCGGATTCTTTAGAACTTCTTCTAAATATGTGCGTATGATTGTGTGTGTGGCCTAATGTGGGAGAGTACGTTCAGCAGAACTAATCTGAAGATTTTGATTTGTTTGCGTCAGCCATAAATGGTGGCTGATACAAATTGTTCTCCCGGAACCAATCTGCAAATAAACCCCGTACTCCCTATCCATATGGAGGCGGTTTGGGTGCACCCAAAGCTCACCGTCCAGATTTAATTTTGTTTTTTCTTATTTTTATTTGTCTTTATATTTTATTAATTTTTGAAAGTTAATGTGTATATATATTGGAAGGTGAGCACCCAAAGCTCATTCCATTACCAACAGAATAATTAATTATTTTTAAATCAAAAAAATTTTGATTCACAAGTACAAAATGAAATGTTTCCCAGGGTCCTAAAGTGATAACTAAAGACTTTTTTTGGGCCAAAACATAAAAGACAACTGAGGACTTGAAAATTTAAAATATCCCTAAGAAATTACAAGTTCTTATAGATGTTTCTTTACCTCTCATACTCCTTAAAGCCACTTCATTTCTCTTATATTACAAAAGTATTTTTATTAGAGACTTTTTAAATCTAGCTTAGGCTCAACTCTTAATCTAAATATAATATAATCTTCTTAATTTTTTAATTATCGTGAGAAAGATGGTCAAAAAAGAGGATTTACTTGGGACCTATTGTATTGATCTCATTATGAGATGTTTGGGTAAAAACCAAAAATTTTAAAAATAATTTTACTGTATACGAAATAAAAAAGTGCTTTTAGAAAGCACTTTTAGAAATATCTAAACACCTCTTTAGTATCACTCCTCAGGTTGTGTTTTTAATAGCCTGTGTAGGAAAATTATCATATACAAGGTCATAGGACATGCAGCAATAATTGTTGGATCATATTTGCAGTATTTTGTGAGATTTTAGAAATTCAGAAAGATCAAAATACTTGAAGATCTTTATGTTTTTTCCCCCTTCATATGACCAGATCCAAGTGCACCTGGATTTCCCCATTAGAATTGCACAACATACATTCCTTAACATTTCTCCATGATCCAAGGACCACCGCAAATATGTTCAAAAGTCAATTGGGATTGCCTGAAGACTCGTGTTGCCCTCACATTCGGTGGCCCCATACTCGCATACGTTCATACCAACGCACATCCAAGGTTGAACCTTACATTATGATATATATATATATATATATATATATATATAAATATAGAGGGGGAGAGAGAGAGAGTGTGTGTGCGCGCGCGCGCGCGATCATTTGACATGATAAAAGAAATGTTGTGGCAGAAAAACTGAATTAGTGGGTCCCAGGGAGTCTTCTTTTTGTTCCTAGTTCATCGAGACTGAAAGGGAATTATAATTAATGAACATTAGATTGAGAAGTTTGAGGAGGGCGTGGGTAAATCAGATCGAATATTATGGCAAGACTTGTGTCTCATCATATCAGCTTCTTCTTCTTCAGCACAGTACTGTGTCTCATCTTCCCTACATTGTGCTGGGCTGATTCATCTCCGTGTCGGCAACAAAAGCAAACCCCATTGTTTATCTTCGGAGATTCACTGTCTGATCCAGGGAACAACAACTACATCAACAGTACTTCTCAATATAAAGCGAATTATAGCCCTTATGGGATCAGCTTCTTCAAATACCCAAGTGGTAGATTTAGTAATGGCCGTCTCGTCCCAGATTTTATCAGTAAGCAGCATTGAATCATGTTCTTGAGCTTGAATTAGTATAGATATAAAAAAAACTAATGTGACTCCATAACAGCTGAGTATGCAGAACTTCCACTGATTCCACCATATCTCCGGCCTGGATATCATCGATACGCTGATGGAGCCAATTTTGCATCTGGTGGAGCTGGTGTTCTGGTTGAGACTAATCAAGGATCAGTATGCGTTTTTGTTTCTCTTCACAGTTTGATCTGATTGGATATCAATGGACTAAGCCTGCCGCCATGGATATGAACTTGGACCTTTTAATTATGAATGCAGTGTCAAAGCAGAAACACACAGATGATTAATTCTAATTTGCAGGTGGTAAACCTCAAAACTCAACTTGAGCATTTCAAGGATGTAGAGGGGCAGTTAAGGAAGAAACTTGGTGATGCAGAAGCCAGAAAATTGGTTTCAAGAGCTGTATATCTTGTGAATATAGGAAGCAATGACTACATTTTCCCTTTGGCTTTAAATTCCAGCATTATCAAATTACACCCTCAACAATACGTTAGAATGGTGATTGGAAACCTCACTTCTGTGATCAAAGTAAGTATATATCCATACACTCTTGGAAAGCCATGACTGATCTAAATGTATCGTAAAAGATACTAACTTGAATATGTTTGAGTTGCTGACATAACAGGAAATACATGGGATTGGAGGAAGGAAGTTCTGGGTCCCAAATTTGGCTCCCTTTGGTTGTATACCAGCCATGAGAGTGGGCAATAACTGCTTTGAGGAAGCCAATGCATTAGCCAAACTACACAACTAAGAACTTCCTAAAATGCTTCAGAAGCTAGAAACTCAACTCAAAGGCTTCAAATACTCAACGAGCGATTTCTTCGGCTTTCTCCTAGATATGAGTAATTTCCCATCTAAACATGGTGAGTGCAGGCCATGTTCTTTGATTGGAACATAGGTTTATATTTTATCTGTAATTTCAAATACTTGGGATGAACTGATTGGATTTGCATTGATATAAACTTTGGACAGGTTTGAAGGAAGGGAAGATGGCATGCTATGTGGGTGGCCCGTTCAGTGGAGGAAAGAATTTTGAGGCATGTGAAGATCCAAGTGAGCATGTGTTCTTTGATTCTGTTCATCCCACAGAAACAGTGTACGAGAAGTTTGCAAGCATAGTGTGGAATGGAAATCGCAACCAAACATGGCCTCACAATCTCAAAGAGCTAGTTGAGAAAGCATAGGCGTCGAGCATTGTGGTTCAACTCATCAATCATCATCATCAACACGTTGCAGATACTATATATACAATAAATATATATATGTATATATGATCTTGCGTATGTGACCTAATGTGGGAGGGTACGTTCAGCAGAACCAGTCTGAAGATTTTGATTTGTTTCCATCAGCCAGAAATGGTGGCTGATACAAATTGTTCTCCCAGAACCAATCTACAAATAAACCCTGTACTCCCTATATATACACAAACGCATTAACTTTCAAAAATTAATGAAATATAAAAACCTGTACTAGTCCATGGATTCCTTTAACTGCGACATTTATATCAGCCCCCTAATAATGCCTATTTAAATGGAATTTAATCTATAGGTTTAGGCTCCGTTTGGAATGACTCATAGTCATTTATGGAATAAGAGGAGTTTTTGTCCCGGCTCATCCAAATGAGGCCTTAATTTGGCGCCTTGGATCATTTTCATTCAGGAGAATAAGTCGAAATAGGAGTTAATTAATCCGGTTCTAAAATCCCGAAACAACATATCAAACGAACAAGTCTGGGCCAAGGTTTCCCAATTGAGCCCCTATACAGCTGATCCCTCACTTCTCAGGTGGTTCATCTTTAAAAAAACAGTCCCCCTGTTATTCTAAACGTGGCTGTGGAGGAGGGTTGCGTTGGTACGAGACGTTTCTGGTGTGTCGTAGGGAGTGTTTGGCAACAAGTAAAAGTACTTTTAAAAAGCACTTTTCTGTAAAACGAGATAAACTTCTCTATATATTTATTTTGTCTATTATAAAAACACTTTTAAAATCATGATTTGATTTCTTTCCAAACACTTCCGTAATCCAAGTGGCTATCTATAGTTGGTTTGAGAGAGGCCATACCCCTAACAATGCCAACAAAAAATTAGCAGAGCTCATATGGGATAACCAAAGCTGAGTCAAACTTTGAATCATAACGGTGCGAAAAACTATAAAAATACTTTTAAAAAGTAGTTTTTCGTAAATCGAGATAAATTCTATCACATATTTATTTCGTATACTGTAAAATTATTTTTAAAATCATAGTTTTATTTCCACCTAAACAGCTCGAGATCTGGACGAGCATTTATTCAAGGAATTAAATTTCCTTGACAGATCCCATCTTATATTCCGTAAGTCTGTTCTGTTTGAAGGTTTCTACTCCATTCCAAGCACACACTAATCCGTGGAAACTGGAAAGTCCCTTGACGTGAAGCTAAGGATATGGGCTGAAGCCAAGCCCATGATTCATTGGGCCCAAGGAGTGTTAAATGGGCCTCCCCTCCATACTCCTGCTCATTCAAATGAGCTCCGCCTTCAATTTTTCCAACCAAAAGAGAATAAAAGCGAATATTCCCGCACCCACAAGTCACGCAAACAAGCAGTGGTTTGTGTCCAAGCAAAATAAGAAATAGAGGAGCGAAACAATAGAAATAATAAATTAATAAATAATGTGGGGGTTTGTTTTTCCAGAGATGTGAATGAACAATGAGATGGAGAAAAGGACAGTTAGAAGGAGTGTGATGAGATATATGGGCGTGAGGGTAGGAGCATGAAGGTGATGATGACTTTGAGAGAAGGTTGGGAGAGCAAAAATGAAAAGGCAGCCATAAAAGGAGAAGAGTGAAAGCAACAAAACCTGAGGGATGTGAACACCACACTTTCCACTTTGCACGCCTTGCTCCTCACCTGTCTTCAATAATTCACACATTCTCTCTCTCCTCCTCTCTTCTATTCATTCAATACTTGTGATCTTCCCCTTCTCTTTATCACTATGCCCTCTAAATTATCCTCATTGCATGTATATGTGTCTGTGCTTTTATTACACTTTTTAATCAGAGCATTTTTTGTTCAATAGCATAGATTAATCCTAGTAAATGAGTAAAAAACTAGACAGTCTTACATATGGGTTGAACTGTTAGCTGGACTCTCTAATAAATTGGTTTATATTACTTCTGGTCCTAAAGATAAAAGCCAATAGACTGATTTGAGTAAATTAAGAAAATAAGTTAAGTTAGTTATTTATAATAAATAAGTGTTGTCTTTTCTAAAATATCCTTACTAATCAAGTTTATTGGCTAAAACTATCA